CCCCAAAACCCCAAAACCCCAAAACCCCAGGCTTTATTTTTATACAATGCTAATTCAGAGTAAAATATTAATTTAATCATATCTCAACATTAAGTTTGTTTATTCTAAGTAGACTGTCAAGTTCCTTAGCAATCTTCAATAAATGATAATCCTCTCCAAAATATCCCTAAATCATAAAACTTGAAGGAAATTTGTAAGTTTTGCATTCTTGTACAGGCATTGTAATAGCAGGAATGCCCAAGCAGTTTGGAAGAGCTGTGAAGTAGTCCATCTTATATTCAAATACTGGATTTTTCTAAGCACCTTTATTATCATTCAAAATATCATTTATCTTAGGAGGCTCAATACCTATCGATACTGGGGAAATAATAATATCAAGTTGATTTTCCTCCATTACCTTGCAATACTGCTATATTAGCAATCTTCTGACTCTCTATGACTCAATGACTTTTTCATTATAATCTTCAAATCTGGATGACAATAAAAAGTTTCCTAAAAGTACTCTTCTCTTCACATTTATTCCAAAAGCCTCACTCCTTACTCTTTCTATGTAATCAAATAAATCTTATTTGGCACTTGTGTTTGCTTGAGATCCTATTGGTATCTAGTATCCATACTTTATTCCATCATACCTTGAAAGATTTGAGGAAGCTTCTGCAGGTACCAATGTGAAATAAAATGGAAGAGCATATTTGATAAGCGGAATTTGCACATTTATTAGCTAAGCCCCTTAATCTTTGAGGATACTTTTTAAATTATCCTATATGGTTCTATTTCTATTATCAAGTTCAGCAATATCAAATTCCTAAACAATTCCTACTCTCAAATTCTGTAAGCTAATGTTTTCTGGATTCTTGGTTAGTCTATCCTAATGTCTAATTTTAGAAATATTGGAAAAGTTTATGCAGTTTGAGTCATTTGAGTCTTCTCCTTACATGATATCAAACAAGCTTTCTAAATCATCAGATGAATTTGTCATAGGTCCTATTACATCGTTGGATGATGAATAGAGAATCTATCCAAATCGAGATAATCTTCCATAAGATGGCTTCATTGAATAAAGTCCACAACAATGGGCAGGATAACTTACAGAGCCACCAGTATCGGTCCCCAAAGAGCTAAAATTAAGTTTCATTTTGAGATATTGTTTACACAAGGGACTATCCAGATTTAGTAGCTACAGCACTTCCGCTTGAACTGCCTCCAGCTATATATTCCTCATCGATTGGATTTCTAGTGATCTTTTTATCATTATAACCATACATGCCTAATGATCTATGCATAGTAAAAATGATTGAATAGAAATTATTACCCCATTCCAAACTCATCCATATTAGTTTTGCCTACTATAATTGCTCCATTTTGCTTTAACTTCCTAATAACTGTTGCATCAATGTTAGGAGTGAAACCTTAGAAAATAAATGTATGCTAATTTACTTTTCAAAATATTAGATGAGGCAGTACATCCTAAATCTTTAACTAGAATGTTATCCTATATAATTTAATAAAATATTTCAAAGTTACCTTGATAGCGATCGGCAAACCATCAATATCTGAGAGTTATTTCCCCTCAGAATACCTTTTTTGAGACTCTTCAATTTATTATGCATGCTTTTGCTTATCTTATACATTTACGAAAGCATTCAAATGTGACTTGGATTAGATATTGCTGTAGGCTTGATCAATAATGTCTGAAACTCTGATTTAACCTTGCCTTAATAATTGCTAAGCACTTTTTAAAGTTCTTGGTATATTAGTGGCCATTGTAATAATTTTAATTTAAGTTAATAAGTAGAATTTTAATTGATTTGTTAATTTCAAATTTTAAATGTAAGAAACTCAACTTCAATCATCGACAGCTTTTGGTCTATCGACGGTTTAATCTCCTGAGTCAAAGACTCTATAAAGCAAAATTCATGTTTCAGTCAGGATGAAGCCACTAACAGACGAGGAAAGAAAAACAGAAAAAAATAAATTTTGGACAACATCATAAGATTCTATCACATAAACTCAAACCAAGGAAACATATAACTTTGGTAATTTCTTAAAATCAACTAATTTTTACATAGACAAAGTTTACAATGATGAAATGACAACTGGCTAGATATTTGATTCTGAGGCTAAGTAATTAGTTCTCTCTTCTCTAGATGGCTATAACGTAACAATCTTTGCATATGGTTAGACAGCATCAGGCAAAACTTTCACCATGAGAGGAAACAACTAGCAACAAGGCATTATTCCTCTCGCACTATCCGAAATATTTTAAAATCTAAATGAGTATCATGGTGCCTCATACACGCAAAAAGATCCACATTATCACACAAATGATCCTAGGACCTGGAATGTTAAGGTTTCATATCTTGAAATTTACAATGAATGCGTAAATGACTTATTGGACCCTACAAGGAGAAATTTGGATGTCAGAGAAAGCAGACAAAGAGGAATCTATATTGATAGGCTTTCCGAATTTGAAGTGTCTTCATTAGAGGAAACAATGAACTATTTACTAAGAGGTGATGAATAAAGAGCTATAGCTGAGACTAAATTGAATGAAAAGAGTTCTAGGTCCCACACTGTTTTCTAAATTGATATTACAATGAGAGAGAAAAATTTCGAAACTGGGAAAATGCTTATAAGAACCTCAAGGATAAATCTTGTAGATTTAGCTGGATCCGAGGGAGTAAATAAAACAAAGTCTGAAGGAGTAAGATTTAGAGAGGGTACCAATATAAACAAAAGTTTACTAGCATTATCAACTGTAATATATAGACTGAGTCAAAAATACTAATAAACTGCTAAGAACTATTTCATCAATTTTAGAGATTCAAAGCTGACAAGAATTCTATAACAGCCTCTTTCTGGTAATTCGTAAACAGCCATCATCTGCACTATGTCTCAGATTCATTCCAACTATGCAGAATCTAGAGAGACTCTTAATTTTGGTGCTAGGGCTAAGAATATCAAAACATATGTTAATGTTAATGAGGTACTGAAAGAATCTGCTGAGGAATTAGTTACAAAACTTTAGTAAGTTACTAAGGAAAATGAAGACTTAAGGAAGAAGTTGAAAATATAAGAAGATTTTGAGAAAACTCTTGAAAATAATTAAGAAGATTTTAGTTCATTAGGCTATTTGAAATCGTATCAAGACTATATGATAAAGTTGTTAGATGAAAAGAGCGATATCATTTTAGAATTGGAGAAGCAGGTGTAAAAGTTGTAAGACCAGAATGACGAAAATGCATAGAAAATGGAAACGCTAGAATAAGAAAATATAAAAATTAATGAGAAACATCTTAAACTTATAGAATTTAATGAAGAAAATTTGCTTTTCAACGAACACTTAATGAATAGGAGAATTGAACTTGAGTAATAGGTAATTGACCTAAAAGCAAATATGAGAATCAATGAAATCTAGCAGTAGGTACAGAGATTTTCCTTAGATAATACAATGAATAACCTCTATGATGTTAATCAAGGAGATAATCAAGGTATATCTGAATCATATATTCTTTCTAATAAGAAATCTCCAATTTTCGCTGATCCCAATTAAGATATGTAGTAAGATGTACTTTATCTAATGCAGGAGAATGAAAAGCTTAAGTCAACCATCTAATTTTTAAAAGATTCATAAGAGGAGCTTGATTTGCAATATCAGCAGACTCACTAACTCCTTCTAAGTTATAAGGATTAGCTACAGACTGAGAAAGATAACAACCTAAGGCTGATGCAAAACTATAGGGGACTAAGACTAGAAACTAAAAAGAAGGATAAGTATATCAGCTAAAAAAATTTCATAATTTAAGGAATGTGCCAGAAGATGGACTTGCTGGAGAAATCGAATAATTGTCTTTTCAAAGAATTAGACAACACTATTTCAGGAGTTAGTTTGATTGAAAATGATACTTAGAATGAAATAAATATGGAAAACTTGAACATCGATGAAAACAGAGAAACAAAAGAGCCGAAATCAGGTCTGAAGAATAAGACATAGTTTATGGCTTAAAGTTTAAAAACTTAGATTATGGAGCTAACCACTAAAGTGGAAATTTTGCAAAATGAAAAAATGAATCTATAGACTGAGGTAGATACACTAACAGCTGATCTTGAAGAGGCAGAGAAGAATATCTATGAGCTTACAATGAACATCAAGAATATGCATTATGATATTGAGGAAATAGAGGATATTAATGAGGAGCTTCAAAATGATAAAGATAGTATTGAGCAACGATATATGGAGAGATTCAAACAAATGGAGGAGGAGACTCATCTAGCGAATGAGGAAAATAACACTTTGAAGCATAAGAACATAACTCAGAGCAGACTAATATCTGATCTTTAAACTGAAATTGTGGAAAAAGATAGGGTGATTATTGATTTATAAGATTAAGTTAAAAGGCTGTTAAGCAAGAAGAGAGATAGAGCTGAATTTGAGTAAAGTACTGGGACTGACATCAACAAATAGGTAATTTTAATTTAATTTTATATTTTAGTTGGAAAATGATGCTAAAAGATTTAAATTGAACTCAGATACCTCAAACAACGGATAATCTTTCTTGAGTAGCGTTATTGGAGAAAAAGCAAAATATAACAACGAATTCTCTAAAGGTAAGTTTAATGTATCATGAAATCATTCTAGGTGTTCATGATGAACTGCAAGAAAATTAAGGCTTATTTGCAAGATTAAAGAATCATTTATTTAGCAAAAAGGTTCCAATAAAGAACCAAGATTTAAATATCCTTAGCTTAAACAAAGAGAATCTAAATGTTAATGCGTCAAAAAAGAATTAGGAAGCTAGTATTGACATCATTAGAAGAATGAAACAAAACTCCAAGTTATAGGGGGAGGGAAATTTTATTAAGAGTACAAATAGTAGCAATCTTGATGAGTCTTAGAAAAGAAATAACACTAGCAATAAGCCTACTTGGAGATTTTGAGTAAATAACTCTTATTACCCTCCTTGATAATTTAGTCATTAATTTGATTTATTAATTTCTTAAAACTTTGGATTAAAAATTTATCTATATAGTGGGGTTTTGGGGTTTTGGGG